CCTTGACCCTATATGAATACAATGAATTAACTCGATCTTTAATTTCTAATATTTACACAAGTGAATACCAATAAATCTTATGTTATACTTAATGAAAGTATGAATAAATTCTTAAGTGTTAGTGAATCTATTGTTTCAATGGGATACGCATTCTACGAAATTAGTTTCAATGATCCAACAATCAAACATGTTTGTATATACTTCGAGATCACATACGCCAAAAATTACAAAAAACAAACATTCAGAGATCAAGTAACGGGACAAAACTTTTCGACGGTTATCAACGAAAAATCACGATTTAACGGTTATTTTAACTCTGATTTTGATGATTTTTTTACAGCTACACTCCTTGACCCTATATCCATACAATGAATGAATTTAATCTTCAATTTAAAATATTTACACTAGTGGATACCACAAATCTTATGTTATACTTAATAAAAGTATGAATAAACTCTAAGTGTTAGTAAATCTATCGTTTTGATGAGATACGCATCCTACGAAGCTAATTTCAACAATCAAACCGTTAAACTTGTTTGTTTATGCTTCGAAATCGCATACGTCAAAAATCGCAAAAAACAAACATTAAGAGATCAAGTAACGAGACAAAACTTTTTGACGATTATAAACGAAAAATCACGATTTAACGGTTATTTTAACTCTGATTTTGATGATTTTTTACAGCTACACTCCTTGACCTTATATGAATACAATGACGAACTCGATCTTCAATTTAAAATATTTACACTAGTGGATATCACAAAATCTTATGTTATACTTAATGAAAGTATAAATAAATTAGTGAATCTATAGTTTTGATGGGATACGCATTCTATGAAACTAATTTCAACGATCCAACCGTCAAATTTGTTTGTATATACTTCGAGATCGTATACACCAAAAATTGCAAAAAAGAAACATTCAGAGATCAAGTAATGAGACAAAACTTTTCGACGGTTATAAACGAAAAATCACGATTTAATGGTTATTTTAACTCCGATTTTGATGATTTTTTACAGCTACACTCCTTGACCCTATATGAATACAATGAATGAATTCAATCTTCAATTTAAAATATTTACACTAGTGGATAAACGATAGATTCACTAACACTTAGAGTTTATTTAGACCTTCATTAAGTATAACAAAGATTTTGTGGTATCCACTAGTGTAAATATTTTAAATTGAAGATTGAATTCATTCATTGTATTCATATAGGGTCAAGGAGTGTAGCTGTAAAAAATAATCAAAATCGGAGTTAAAGTAACCGTTAAATCGTGATTTTTCATTTTATAACCGTCGGAAATTTTTGTCCCGTTACTTGATATCTGAATGTTTGTTTTTTACAATTTTTGGCATATACGATCTCGAAGTATATACAAACATGTTTGACGGTTAGATCGTTGAAACTAGTTTTATGTGTTTAAGTATTAATTAGACTATATTTTTGTTTTTTATTACGCATTTTATTTAAGTTCAATTTTATTTAATAAAATCTTAAAATGTTATATGAGGTAAGCAAAAAAAAAAAAAAAAAACTCGTTATCTTTTTTGTATGGGGACTTTTTTTTTTTACAAAACTATTTTCCTGTCAGCTAATTTGAAATACGGTAGGCGGGAACTTTCCCGCTTGTTCTGATATAGTGTCGTTTTAAACTGACGCCAAATGCATTTAAACTGATGCAACGTGCAGTTCATTAAAGATTGTCAGACTATGGTGTCAGTTTGAATCGACACAAGGGTTAACTAAACTGACGCCATTTGAATTAAAAAAAAACTATGTCAGAAAGTGGTTGTTTGATTTAATGTATCAATAAAGTGTGTCAGTGGTGGTGTTGGTTTAAACCGACACCAACTTTAACGAAACCGACGCCACGTTTGGTCCAATAAATGTTGTCATAAAGTGGGTGGATTTAAATGGACGTAATGCATGGCAGAAGTGGGTGGCGGTTTTAACCGACACTAAGCCTCACTTATTGTGACGCCAGTGGGTTTTAATACGACGTTAGGAACTTAATGTCGGTTTAAACCGACGCTAACTCATCATCCCTATTTAAACCCCTTTTTCCCCCATTTCATCCGTGCTTTCATTTTTTTTCCTAATTTCAGTCTCTCCTTCTCCATCCCAATTTCGTCCGTACTTCCATTTCATCTCCCTTTCACTTTTTAATTTTTGTACTTCTTCTTGCATATTGTTTTGCTATGGATCATGTGAAGATGAGCATGTTGACGAAATCCAATTAGAAGAGGAAGAAGTCGAAGGTGGTCGATTTTTAATTTATTATGGTTATTAGTTGAGTAATCAAACTATAAGATTGCGAGTTCTTTTTTTCTCTAGCATTAGAGCGAACGAATAGTGGTTTTGTAATTTTACTTTCGTTGTTGTTGCTGTTTTGTTGACCTGAAATTTTACTGCTCAGGTTCTTTGACAAAACGGCGGTGGAGGTACAAGGTGACCAGATAAAGGACTCGAAAAGCCCATGGAGACTCAGTACGGTTACCCAAGTAGAGGAGCTAAAACCAATCATAAGGCTGCTTCCCATATGGGCCACTGGTATCATCTTTGCCGCAGTCTACAGTCAGAGGAGCAACTTCTTTGTGTTGCAAGGCACCCTCATGGATATTCATGTTGGCCGCTCTAACTTTGAAATCCCGGCAGCATCTCTTTAAATCTTTGACACCCTAAGTGTCATTTTTTGGGTCCCAATATACGATCGAATCATTATGCCAGCAACTAGAAAATACACCGGTCACAAGAATGGCCTAACTACACTCCAAAGGATGGGCATTGGCCTCTTCATCTCCATATTTTCCATGGTCTGTGCTGCAGTTTTGGAACTCATCATGGTGGTGCAAAACTGGTGCAAAAGAAAAATTCCACACAACTGGTGCAAAACCACACAACTATAAAAATATAGTGGAAATTTTTATATAAAAATTAGAGGTCGCACTTAGTGCGATGGCAAGTGCCTTCGCCCATGAACGGTAGGTCTCGGGTTCGAGACTTGGGAGCAGCCTCTCTATAAATGGGGGTAAGACTAGCCGACATTCACCTCTCCCAGACCCTGCGTAAAGCGGAAGCCTTGTGCACTGGGTACGACCTTTTTTTAATAGTTTGTAAATATTATTAACTAAAAACTGAGGAAGTTTTATTAAAATTTATTATTTTTAATGTATCTGGTGTCGCTTATGGACGACAGAAGTGTAATTATTTAATATTGAAGTCGTTAGTTAATGTCGGTTATGACCGACAGTAGCTTGAGTATTTTATTTATTTAACTTACTTGATGTCGGTTTGGACCGACATAAAGTGTGATATTTTTATTGTTTATTTCTTACGTAATGTCGGTTTTAAGCGACAGAAAGTGTGATATTTTTATTGTTTATTTCTTATGTAATGTTGGTCTTCATGTCGCTTATAAGCGACGTAAGAGCCAATGTCGCTTTTAAGCCACGCTGTTGTTCATTTATATTTTATATTACTTTGCTTCTTGGTGGTGCATTAAGGGGGTTAAGCGACGCCATTACCCTTTTGTGACGGTAGTATTGGTGTCGGTTTTTCTATGCGACATTGCACGATTTAATGTCGAATTTTTACCAAAAATCCGACATTAATAGGTGTTTCTTGTCGGTTTTTCACCGCCACTGATGTGCCCTTTTGTAGTAGTGGGATCATAAATTCCTTAATCTATGTACATAGTAAGTATGACATAAATTCCAAAATTATGAAACTAAATGTTCTAATAATGTCGATATCGAGAATAAATTTCGTGTGAAAATGTTTTGACCCGAAGTTCCAAAATATAAATATTGTTAAAAACTTAAAAGTTCTAATACTACGGTCTAGCGGTATTCCTATTCATTGGTAAGTGAGAGGTAATGACGAATTTGAACCACATTATCACTAGTCTATTGTGAGGCTTAATCCACTCTCCCACTCCCTTATACATAGATAATATCATGGCAAAAAGGAAAACCTGTAGTGTTGAATCGAAACCTAACCTAGAAACTAGCAATACTAGTGTATCAATCGTCCCCACCTTCCTTAGTCTTCACCTATCTCTCTGTTTCCTGAGTTTTAACGAAACACTTCCGGTAATGTTCACTTTTAACAAAAAATCACATTTTTACCTTTCCTTAGTACTATTCACTACACCTTCATTTGTCATTTTTCATTAAAACTAAAGTTTTGTTGAACTTTTCGTTAGTTTTCCTTTATTTTAACTCCATGCACGCATGCATGTTTCACTGCCTTAGGGGGGGCCTCCATTGTCCCTCACCCTTGCCTCTTTCACTCCTTTGTTTCCCAAAATATCACTTTCATACTATGTTTCTTCCCTCTTTCCCTCGCCAAATGCCGGCTTCTTGTAGGGTTTAGTGAGCAAATATTTGATCCTTTTTCTAAAATAACTTGGCCTAAAATGATGTCGTTTGGTTAGACAATATTTAACAAAAAAAATAATAAGAGCAACTTTTTTTTTTTGAGGCATGTCATCAAATAGCTGGAGGGAATGTACTACACCGACTCCATCCAAGTTATCCGTGAATATTCACTAGAGTTCGGGAGTCTACTGACCCTCCTTGCCCCTTAGTCCATGCGCCACTGTTTCATCCATCTTTCTTGCCCATGCATGAATTCAAATTCAAAGCCACCAAAGGTCTCACGGTTGCTAGTTTTAATTGGGATCTTGAAGATGTGTAACCAAAGAGAGGACATAAGTCATCATACATATGTAAAACCACTCAAAGAAAGATCATGGCATCATATAATTCTTTTCTAAAAGAGTGAACAACTTTTGTCATCTTCTATTAATGTAAATGAAACAATATTCCTTAATATCTTTGTATGTAAATAGGCCGAAACGTTTTGTATTCTTTTAAATGTCTCCATCTAATTTTTTTTTTTTTTGCATGTAGATAGAAAAATTTATGATCTTCTGTAAATAGAATGTATCGATCAAATCTTTTGTATGTAAAAATTTTCATAACCTTTTCAATAAAAATAGTATTAAATGACACAGTTTTGTTATACTTTCCAAGATAATCTTTCGTACAAATTTTAATTCTGCAGTAGCGTGTGTACCACTTTCTAGTAAATATTAAATAGGACATTTTGGTCTAACCCATTTAAGTGGTAATATATTGTGGGACTCCCTGCTGAGCAGAGTACAGCTAGCACTCCTCTCTTATTCTTAATTTACTTGCAAATATAACAAAGTACGTATATGATATAATTAAACAAGACGACCTGATAGTCGTGCCAACTCAAATGATATCAAATGCAATTTAAATCTTAATGAGTTCTTCAAGTGTGATGATTGGTCCTCCATTGGAAGCTGCAGTTTGAAATGATAATGACTGAGAAACCATGTGCATTGTTGGCCTTGATTGCGGTTGCGAATGCCTGCATGCGATTGCTACCCTTGCAATGGTTGTCAGTTCATTTGCAACTTCAGGTGTAGGAGGTGGAAGCCGTTGGTCTAATACATCCTTCAGCAATTTGTTTTCACACGCGGATGGAGACGAAAAGGATGAGATTAAATCACCTAGTCGCTTTCCCGTGATCACTTCCAGTGCTAGCACTCCGAAGCTATAAACGTCACATTTCTCGGTTACCTTCATTGTGTAGGCCAACTCTGCATACAAATTAAGGGAGAGCAAGCCATTACCATGTTTAACTTTATATATTATCAAATTCAACATTATATGTTTTAACTGTTTTACTTTACCTGGTGCCACATATCCGAGTGTGCCTGCAAGGGAGCTCCAATGCGATGAGTCTGGATTCAAAAGCTTAGCAGTGCCGAAGTCTGAAACACAAGGCTCATAGTCGTAATCGAGTAAAATGTTGCTGCTTGATATGTCTCGGTGTACAATTGGCGGCACGCAATCATGATGCATGTAAGACAGTGCATGAGCTACGCCTTGTACAATTCTCACCCTCCTACTCCAATCCAATTCTTTTGCTTCGTCTTCTTTGCTCAAGATTGAAGCCAGACTACCCTTTTCTAGATATTCATAGACCAGAAAGGAGTGCTGTGAATTTGAACAAAAACCACAAAGTTTCACAATGTTTCGATGTCGTGTATTGATTAGTGCGCTTATTTCATTGTGGAACTCCTTCTGTGATGTCTCCACGCTGTCAAGTTTTTGATGGAGTTTCTTCACTGCAACTATGCTGCCTGATGGTAGCTTTGCCATGTAGACACTTCCGGATCCTCCCTTCCCAATGCAAAATTTGGAGTCAAAAGCATTGGTTGCACATATGATCTCCCAATACAATTTTTTTCCATCAAAATGAGAGATTGAAAAAACTTCATCATGGATATCACTCTTTTCTGTTTCTGGCTCTTTCTTTCTTCTTGTTCCGATGAAGAAAATTGCAAGGAAAGCAAGTAAAACTACTCCCAAGATAGGGAAAACGATTGCAAACACGAGTTTTCTGTTGTTTTTTCTTTTTGAGACGTGCTTATTGCAGGATTGTAGACCTACAACATTTCCACACAATCCTTCGTTCCCTTCAAAGCTGTGACCATCTTGAAATGCTTTGTTGTTGGGGATGGGGCCCTGCAAGCGATTGTAGGATACGTCTATGTACAACAAGCCACGCATTCCATCAAACGTTGCTGGAATGAGACCGGAAAGATTATTGTGGGAAAGATTCAGCCACTCCAAGCTCTGCATATTGCTAATTTCTGATGGTATCTTGCCGCCAAGTAAGTTACGACTTAAATCTAACTGTGACAGGTGAAATAACTTCCCCAACTGAAATGGAATTTCTTGACTGAAATTGTTGTTGCTCAAATTCAAGTAGTTTAAACGGACCAATTCGCCAACAATGCTTGGAATTGACCCATTCAACTTGTTGGTGGACACGTCAAGATGTTCGAGTTCAGTGAATGCTCCGAATTCTGAGGGTATAGAACCCGAAAGCTGATTGCCATTCAACTTCAGGTTCAGCATAGAAGTCAATCTCCCCAAATCCTTGGGAACCACCCCAACCAGATGATTCGCAGAAAAATCGAGTTCTTGAATTTTATTTGCATTGACAATCTCAGATGGTATGCTACCAGTAAGCTTGTTCCCCGCAATCCGTAGGGTTGTTAAGTTTGGACACTGTCCCCATATGTGTGAGATTTCGCCATGTAAGTTGTTGTGGCTTAGGTCTACAAACTGAAGATTCGGATAGACGCCAAAGTCTTCAGATATATTATTGCTTGTAAATTGGTTCCCTTCAAGACGGACTCTGACTAAGCTCTTGCAATCTTTCAAGCTTTTCGGGATTGGACCTGTAAACTCGTTCTTCTCTGCAGTAAACTTTTGTAGCAGTCCACCTCTACAAATATCTCGAGGCAAATAACCAGAAAATCGGTTAGTACCCAAGTCAAGTAGCGTCAACTTCATTAGATTCTCCATCTCTTGGGGGATTGATCCAGATAGCTGGTTGCCGCGGAGGTATAGGTTTTCTAGGCTGCTCAAGTTGCCGAATGAAGAGGGAATGGTTCCATTGAGCTGATTGCGGGCCAGGTCTAGAGTCACAACAAATTTCAAGTTTCCAATCTCTTCAGGAATAGTACCGGAAAGTTTATTGTCGTAGAGAGAGAGATAAACAAGGTTTGTCAAATTGCCCAAAGAAGTTGGGATCGAACCAGAAAGGGTATTGTTGTACAAGAACACCATGGTTAGATTTTTCAAGTTTCCGAAACTCTGAGGGATTGGGCTTGATAAATAGTTGTCAAACAGGTAAAGTTCAACCAAGTTTGAAAGGTTTCCTATTGCAGGAGGAATAGAACCCGAAAGTTGGTTTCCGGAGAGTGTCAAAGAGCTCAATTGGCTCAGATTACCCATAGAAGCTGGAATTGAACCCTCTAAATTATTATAGTTTAGAGCTAGCTCATAGACAAATTTAAGTTGGCCTATTTCTTGAGGAATTGAGCCATTGAACTTATTTGCATTTAGGTGAAGGACTTGAAGATTTGTTAGAAGACTGATTTCGGGTGGGATTTTTCCAGACATTTGATTATAAGAGACATCAAAGTAGATGAGTTTGGTGAGGGAACTGATCTCAGGTGGGATTTGATCAAAAAGTTCGTTGTAGCTTAGATCAACATATGCGAGATTAGGCAATGACATGAATGGAAATTCAAGTAGAGTACCTTGTATACCAGAATTGGTGAGGTTTAATCTGTTGACACTTCCAGCTGAGTTGCATGAAACACCAATCCAAGTATTGCATGGAGCTTCATTTGCATTCATCCATGAGGTCAGGTTGTTTTCGGTTTGGTTTTGAAAGCTAGCTTTCCATTTGAGAAGTGCTTCTGCTTCAGTGGAATTGGCAGAAGCAAAAACAGTTTTTTGTGATGAATTTAGCTGAAGAGACAAGATAAGGCAAGCTAGAAAGCATACTTTATCGCAATAAGCTGAAAATCTCATCATGGTTTTTGTGTATACGTTTTTTAAGCAACTCAGGGCTCTACTTATAGTGAGAGAAGCGCTATTAATTTGTATATTCTCTATTTGTTTTTGTTATCTTTGACTTTTGCTCCAAATGGTTTTTTTTGGGTAAAGAAAAATGGTAGTGGTGGGCTACAACTTCGAGCCGGGTCGCTGTTTTTACGGAAAGCTCTCCCTACAACGCTTTTTTACAAGCGGATGATCGAACCCCTGACCTCCCTAAGGATGGTACTCAGAGGAACCGCCCAACTTTTATTTCCCTTTGATAGGGATTTTTACCACCTGCAAAACTAGGGATAAAAACACTTAAAAATACTTGCAAGAATACAAGGTTGTCATAGTATAACAGCTCAAGCAAGGTCAATCTCCACAGGGATTGAATGAATAATTTATGATAAAATAAAATCTTAATTAATTATTTGAAAACAAAATTTAGAAGAAGTTGATTTTATGATCTAAAATATTAAAAATGAATTTAATTAAAAATAATTAAATAAATTGGCAACGTAATAAAAACAAAAGAAAATAGTTTTGAAAATAAATTTAAGCAATAGGGTTCTGCCGTCACCTTAACAATCCTACGTAGTTCTTTCAATTACTTATGACTTACACATGCATATTTGAAGATTAGGTTTTCCTAAAGTATGCCCTACTTGGAACCTCCAACATAGAACGTATATCTAACATGCAACTCGTCCGTGGCGTCCAGATCGAATGTGAACATGCAAGACTCATTAAGTTTTGTGAAATCCTTTTGAAAAACCATATAACCCTTAAGACGTGTCGTCCATCCTAAGAAGTTACACATATTAACCACAAGAAGCCAACGCTAATTTCAGGGATAGCCCTCTCCCAAAATTGCATCCAATTACTTTTCTAAATATCTTAATGGTGGCCAATCATCAAGACAATTAGATAGTTTAAAGCACAGTGATTAATAATTCAAAACTTGCATGCATAATATCATAAGTAAATTGAAAAGAAACTACATATTCTTGCTAAGGCTCGTGGCCTCACCCTAACAAACAAAACTAGTTAAGAACAATCATAAAACAAAATATTATTAAAGACATGGATAGAAAACACCATGAAAATAAATTTGAATCCTCCAAAGTAGTGTGTGCGTTCTCCTCCTTTTTTCTCCCCCTTTAACCTAATGGCTAAATATCTTATTTATACTAATACAAAATAAAACCCTAAAAGGTCTTAGAATAAAACTAGGAAACCTAATAAATTGAAATAAAATAGGAAGCATAATCCTAAATTAACTTGGTAAATTCGCCCAAATCTGCACAGCCACGTTTTGGACCCAAATTAGCTCCAAAACTGGCCTAAAATAGCTGGATTTAAAGCTTTGACTATTCTGAACACTTCTTCAAAATGCCACGAACCCATCCGAAGTCATCTTGGGCTCCAAAAATGCAGTTTAAGCCCAGAAATGTCACTTTCCAGCAACGCGCACTGCTCCTTCATTTAATCTCCAGAAAATAACTGCTTGGTAGAAATTTCTGAGATACGAACAAGCTAAGGAACACATGAACATCCTCTAATTTGAATCACTCCAAAATTCGTCCGTTTGGTCACGTTTTGCTCTAGAGGAAGTCCAATGTCCTATATTAAAAATATAAAGCAAAGTATCAAAATTCTACCAAAATAACCAATAAATTATAACTAAGATTAGGGTAAAATATATAATAAAATACTGACTCATCACCCTTCCTTCCTCCTTCCTAGCTACAATACTTCATCCCAATCCCACCATGTGCTTGGATCGGCTGCCTCTGATCAGCAATTGGATATCAGATCCACTTCCCTCTCTCACTTCCCCTCCCCTAGCTGGCATGCCGGATCTCCATATATGCCAAGTGTTGGGTATTTTACATACCCCCTTAGCCTCACCCTCTTTCTATATGTTACTTTGTTTGTATATATTTGTAGGAGTTCGTGAAGGAGACTTGGATCTGGTTTTTACTTTCTCGATTCAGAGTTTGGCGTCCTCCGAGGATGTGACGGCGGTGACGATGTGGTCTTAGCTGCTGGAGATTAGGGGTTTTTATTGTTTGTTTTCTGTTGCCTTCGGGCCTAAGCTTGTGTGGGCCTCTCATTGTATCTTAGGTTGCTGCTCTCATTTTACTTAAGCCTTTTACTTTCCCTTGTTTACCTGGTTCTTTTTAGGCCTTGTACTAGTTTTATTGTAATGAAAGTTGTCCTTGTGATCAAAAAAGAAAAAAAAAAGAAGAAGCAATTAGTAAGGTATATAGAATTTTCTAAAATGATAATGAATTATTTGGTATCAATGGTATATTAATTGCAATAATTCAATGCACACTCATATGCAAACTCAATTTTAAAATGCACATGAAGTTAATATTGAAAATACAATCGAGTTAAGAACTTGATTTTTCTCTTTAAGATAATTTACGCTCCACTACGGTACTCATGGTTGATCAGAGCTTGTTTCACAGGATATAATGACCACGTCCTTCATTACGATAGTAGTACCCAAATCTCAAGAACTCACTTAATCTCTCACTTAATCTCTCACTTAAATTTAAATGAAACAGCTTGCATGAAATTATATAACTGAATTAAATTAACTCATTTTCGTAATTTCCACTTAGGATATTCACATAGGCATTTTCATAATTTCTCATCGTCAGAAAATAAAATAAAATTTGGAACGGGAACAGTTCAAACATGAATGCGGTCATTTCACGTTTCTTTCTTAATTAATATATGAGATGGTTTTGTCTGAGAAGACTTTGAATTTTAGTTACACTTTTAAGGTCTTTGTCTGAGAAAACTTTGAATTTTGTCACACTTTGTGTTGAAGTCTTTGTCTCTTATCTTTAAAATAGAAATTTGGAAAGTTTGCAGTGTGAACATATTCACATTGTCAAACAAATTTGAACTTTAGCTAGGTAATGAAAGCAATTGGTAAGGTAAAATTTCCCAAAATGATAATGAAGTATTTGGTATCAATGGTATATTGATCAAATCGAGAATCTAAAAATAATTGCAATAATTCAATACATACTCATATGCAAACTCAATTTTAAAAAAGAAAACTAATGAAAATGACTTGAAAACTTTGAGTTTTAATGATAAGGACAAAATAAAGGGTAAAGTGAATAGTACTAGGTTTGACTTTTTAATGTAAAAATGTGGTTTTTCGTTAAAGTGAATAGTACCGTGGGCTTTTCGTTAAAACTCCAATTTTAAAATGCACATGAAATTAGTTTTGAAACTACAGTCAAGTTAAGAACTTGGTTCTTTCTCTTTAAGATAATTTACGCCCTACTATGGTACTCGTGATTGATCGGCCTAGTTTCACATGAGACAATGACCACTTATTTAATTACGATAATAGCACTCCAAATCATAAGGCCTCAACAAATCATGATTGAGTTGTATTCTCTCATCTCACTTAATATCTCACTTTAACTCTAAATGAAGGGGCTTGCATGAAACTATATGACTGGATTAAATTGAATCATTGACTAATAATTCAATAAGATGAAACCTTTATGGACGGGGAAATCTTGAGTTACGAATTTGGTTATATATTATGGGTTAAATTGAATCATTGACTATATGACTGAATTAAATTGACTAATAATTCAATAATATCTCACTTTCCTATCTTCATTTTGATATATTATGGGTCGAATTTGGTTAAGAAACGATTGAATTATGAAGCTTTGAAAATTGTCAAAACTTCCGGCCAAGAGCTCTGGGACACTTAACAGGGTTTTTAATGGAATGATCAAAATAATGGATCGTGAACAATCTCAGGAACTATTTTTATTGATTTTCAATCTCAAGGACCAAAGTGATGTGTTATGCAAATCTTAAGGACCATTTTGACTAAAAAGCCTTTTTATTTTGTACAAGTAGTTACTTGACTTACAACTGAGTATTGCATGCGCAGTCAAGGGTTGCCCATTAATTAATTATCATTTTATGAGTCTTCCATTGTTCCATGCATGCGAAATATCTTATATCTGTGTCTGGAAATTTCTTCTATGTGTGTGATCCTAGGTCATCTGATGGTGTGAAATTCTATCAGTCAACAATTGTTGAAAATATACTGCCTACTTTCATATTTCTTAGCTTTAGGACAAACTATACACTTTCTTATATAAAGGCCTATCAGCTCACATATAATATATAAAACAAAATCTACAACCTCTTGTTTTCCATTGCTTTGTTTCATTTTGATAATGAGAGAGATTACTGCTACTGTCCCGAGTGCTTAGACACATAAATATTGTGTCTTATTTATTTTCTGTCCTACTGCACATAAATCCCCAATTTCAAGTACATAAAAAAAAAAAATCCCCAATTACATTATTGCTAGTCTATTATAAGGTTAAATTCATCTCCTCTCCTTTAGTATAGTAATGTTTGTTCAAAAATAAAAAAAATAAAAAAATAATGATGGAAAGTGGAGCAGGTAGGGGTGCTCGTGCAGGTAGTAGAGCCTGCTCTAATTACTTCCAAGACAGATGTATGAACAAATTAATGATGTTGAAGGCTCTAGTCTAGCATCAATGTGAGATTTGAGCTTACAGTTCAGCATAGGAAAAGAATATCAAGTTAATATATACTTTTTTTTTTGGACAATACACTTTTTGTTTATTATCATTACTTTTATTATTAATGTGATTAGTGTGGTATAATTGTCAATACCATAATATATACTAGTATATGATTTTCTTTTTTTAAATCGAATGAGAGACGAAGAGAGTAAGAGAGAACTGAGAGTGGGGGGAGAGGGAGAGAGGGAGAGAGGTTTAATTTTTTTTAATATTTTTTTTAAATTAAAAATGTTAAAATCACCTCTAGAAAGAAAAACAGTAAAATTTTGTTTTGTAAAATTATGTTACAGCCCTTAACTTTTTTGATGTGATAGAAGCCTAAATAATCTTTTTAACCTCTGATAAAGAATGTTTTATTAATATGTAGTTTAGATATATGAGTTGGTCTTTGGCCATGAAGAC